AAATATGAAATCACAATGTCCCAGGCCAACCGGTATCCCCCCCTGAAGTTCCGTCGTAAAGAAACACACTATGCGGTGACATGTTTTGATCGAACATCTCATTTTTCACGAATCCCTTCAAAAAATATGCCGAAGTGCACACGCGCGCGTCGTCGCGCGCGCATACCGAAATCCTTCAAAAACCTTCGGTGCCGGAAGGATTTCGCAATCGAGTTCCAACAAACATACAAAAACACAGGGTTTCGTAACTCTGATTTGCTAAAAAAGCTTACGCGCGAGCTCTTGCGAAATCTCAAGAAAACCATTGGTTTTTCAAGATTTACACAACATGCTACCAAACGGGCGTCGCGCGCGCGCATGTCGAAATCTGTCGAACGCCCTTGCGCGTGTGCCGTCGCGAAAATCCTCTGCAAAAATGGGACGAAGTGCAGACGCGCGCGTCGTCGCGCGCGTACGCCGAAATCCTTCAAAACCAATCGGTTTCGGAAGGATTTCAAAATCGCGCGTCCAAAAGACCTACAAAAACACAAGGTTTCGCAACACGGATTTTCAACAGAAGCGTGCGCGCGCGCTCTTGCGGCGTCGTTGTCGTCGTCGCCGTCCTCCCTCCTCCCGCGTCGTCGTCGTCGTCGCCTACGTTGTCCTGTGTCTTTCCTTGTGTTCGTCGTCGTCCTCTTTGGCGTCGTGGTCGTTTACGTCGTCGTTGTCGCCGTGGTCGTCCTTCCTCCTCCTCCCTCGTCGTCGTCGTCGTCGTCCGTCGTCGGCGTCTCGTCGTCGTCCCTCCTATTTCGTCGCCGTCGTCGTCGTCGTTGTCGTCGTCGTCGTCGTCGTCGTCTTCCCTCCTCCCTCGTCGTTGTCGTCGTCGGCGTCGCCGTCCTTCCTCCTTCTTCGTCGTTCGCGTCGTCGCCGTTCTCCCTCCTCCCTCGTTGTCGTCGTTGTCGTCGTTGTCGTCGTTGTCGCCATCGTCGTCCTCCCTCCTCCCTCGTCGTCGTCTTCGTTGGCGTCGGCGTCGTAGTCTTCGTCGTCGTCGTCGGCGTCGGCGTCGTCGTCTTCGTCGTCGTCGGCGTCGTCGTCGTCGCCGTCGTCGTCGTCGTCGTCGTCGGCCGTCTTGCTTCTCCGGCCTTCTTGGGGCGCTCTTGAGACGCCCCCGAGGGCTCCAAGACGACCCCGGAGCGATATCTGTGCTCGGTCCCGCATGGGTTTTGCAAACCAAGTTGCGGGTGGGTGGGTGGGATGATTGCGCGAGCAGTGGAGTTGACAACTTCAAGTTCGGCAAGTGAATCGCACCGCATAGATTGCACCACGTAGATTGCACAACATCGACAGCACCAAGTATATTGCACCCCATCGATTGCACCGCAGATATTGCACCACATAGATTGCGCCACATAGAGTGCTCCACATAGATTGTTGCCCAACTTATGTTGCAGCACATAGACTGCACAACATAAATAGCACCACATACATTGTACAACATTGACCACACCGTATAGGTTGCAACGACTAGGCACCGCAGATATTGCACAACAGATACGTCGCCAAATAGATTGCTCGACATTGACTGCACGACATAGACTGCTAGCAGCACACCGCTTGGGGCCCACACTGGCCAAACTCACTTCCAGACTGAGGAACCGGGCCTGCAGGCCAGTCTGGCCGCAGTGCCGCCGCCGTCGCCGCCCCGTCGCCGCCCGTCGCCTGGGCCTGCGGGCCGCTCTGGCCGCCGTGTCGCCGCCGTCGCCGCCTCGCCGCCAGTCGCCTCGTCGCCGCCAGCTTTGCATTGCTTCAAATTGCTTCGCATTGCTCTACATTGTGTTGCATTGCTCTGCACTGCTAGGCACTGCTTGGCATTGCTCTGCAGCACTTTGCATTGGTTTGCGCTACTCTGCATTGATGTGCGCTACTTTGCGTTGCATTAACTTGATGTGCATTTCTGTGTTTGCTTTGATTTGCACTGTGTTGCACGGCTTTGCATCACTTTGCATTATTTTGCTTGCGCCACATAGCTTACACCACATACATTCTCCTTTCTAAAAAACTAATAGATTCTACCCCCCCCCCCCCGGACTTATCGGTTACCCCGCGCGTGCTGTAAATTACATATGATTCTGACCACATGTCCATCCTAAATATGAACTCATACCATCCCAGCCAAGCCGGGTTCCCCCCCCTGCGGGTCCCTTGTAAAAAACACTATGCGGTGACATGTTTTGTTCCAACATAACACTTTTTCACGAATCCCTTGCAAAAAAAAAGACGAAGTGCACACGCGCGCGTCGTCGCGCGCGCATACCGAAATCCTTCAAAAACCTTCGATGCCGGAAGGATTACGCAATCGAGATTCCAACAAACATACAAAAACACAGGGTTTCGTAACACTGATTCAAAGAAAAACTTACGCGCGAGCTCTTGCGAAGTATTAAGAAAACCATCGGTTTTCCAAGGTTTTCACAAAATGCTACCAAACGAGCTTCGCGCGCGCGCATGTCGAAATCTGTCGAACGCTGTTGCGCGTGTGCCGTCGCGAGAATCCTCTGCAAAAAATGCGACGAAGTGCAGACGCGCGCGTCGTCGCGGGCGTATGCCGAAATCCTTCAAAAACCTTCGGTTTCGGAAGAATTTCGAAATCGTGCGTCCAATAAACCTACAAAAACACAAGGTTTCGCAACACGGGTTTTCAACAAAATTGTGCGCGCGCGCTCTTGCGTCGTCGTCGTCGTCGTCGTCGTCCTCCCTCCTCCCTCGTCGTCGTCGTCGTCGTCGTCGCGTCGTCGTCTTCTGTCTTTCCTCGTCGTCGTTGTCGGCGTCGTCGTCGTTTCCGTCGTCGTTGTCGCCGTGGTCGTCCTTCCTCCCTCGTTGTCTTCGTCGGCGTCTCGTCGTTGTCCCTCCTATTTCGTCGCCGTCGTCGTCGTCGTCGTCGTCGTCGTCTTCACTCCTCCCTCGTCGTTATCCTCCTCCCTCGTCGTCGTCGTCCGTCGTCGGCGTCTCGTCGTCGTCCTTTCATTTCGTCGCCGTCGTCGTCGTCTTCGTCGTCGTTGTCATCGTCGTCGTCTTCCCTCCTCCCTCGTCGTTGTCGTCGTCGGCGTCGCCGTCCTTCCTCCTTCTTCGTCGTTGGCGTCGTCGCCGTCTTCCCTCCTCCATCGTCGTTGTCGTCGTTGTCGCCGTCGTCGTTTTTTCTCCTCCCTCGTCGTCGTCTCCGTTGGCGACGTCGTCGTCGTCTTCGTCGTCGTCGTCGGCGTCGTTGTCGTCGTCGTCGGTGTCGTCGTCGTCGTTGTCGTCGTCGAAAACATTGGAGACGTCGTCGGTGTCGTCGCAGTCGCTGTCGGCGGCGCCGTCGTCGTCGATGTCGCTGTCGTCGTCGGCATCGGTGTCGTGGCCAAGTGCCATGCAGTACGTACCGTAACGGTCTTGTCTGAAGATGTCTTGCGACCAAGTTGCGGGTGGGAGGGTAGGATGTTTGCACGAGCAGTGGAGAGGACAGCTTCAAGACGGTCAAGATTAATTGCACCACATAGAGTGCCCCACACATACCGCACCGCATATATTGCACCACGTCGGTTGCACCACGTAACTCACACCACATGTATTGCACCACTGAGGTTACATATCGTAGATTCTCCCTTCTACAAGAGATACAGACTCTACCCCCCAACCCAGCGTTATCGCTCCCCCCGCGTCCTATGTAAATCACATATGAGTATGACCACATGCCCATCTTAAATTTGAAATCACAATGTCCCAGGCCAACCGGTTTCCCCCCCTGAGGTTCCCTTGTAAAAAAACCTCTTTGCGGTGACATTTTTTGTTCTAACATAACACTTGTTCACGAATCCCTTGTAACAAATGGGACGAAGTGCACGCGCGCGCGCGCCGTCGCGCGCGCATGCCGAAATCCTTTAAAAACCTTCGGTGCCGGAAGGATTTCGCAATCGAGTTTCCAAAAAGCATACAAAAACACAAGGCTTCGCAACACTGATTTGCTATAAAAGCTTCCGCGTGAGCTCTTGCGAAATCTTAGGAAAACCATGGGCTTTTTCAAGATTTTCACAGAATGCTACCAAACGGGCTTCGCGCGCTCGCTTGTCGAAATCAGTCGAACGCCCTTGCGCGCGTGCCGTCGCGAGAATCCTCTGCAAAAATAAAACAAAGTGCAGACGCGCGCGTCGTCGCGCGCGTACGCCAAAAAACTTCAAAACCCATCGGTTTCGGAAGGATTTCAAAATCGTGTGTCCAAAAAACCTACAAAAACACAAGGCTTCGCAATACGGATTTTCAACAAGAAAGCGTGCGCGCGCGCTCTTGCATCGTCGTCGTTCGTCGTCGTCGTCGTCGCCGTCCTCCCTCCTCCCGCGTCGTCGTCGTCGTCGCCTACGTCGTCCTCTGTCTTTCCTTGTGTTCGTCGTCGTCGTCCTCTTTGGCGTCGTGGTCGTTTCCGTCGTCGTTGTCGCCGTGGTCGTCCTTCCTCCTCCTCCCTCGTCGTCGTCGTCCGTTGTCGGCGTCTCGTCGTCGTCCCTCCTATTTCGTCGCCGTCGTCGTCGTCGTCGTTGTCGTTGTCGTCTTCCCTCCTCTCTCGTCGTTGTCGTCGTCGGCGTCGTCGTCCTTCCTCCTTCTTCGTCGTTCGCGTCGTCGCCGTCCTCCCTCCTACCTCGTCGTTGTCGTCGTTGTCGCCGTCGTCGTCCTCCCTCCTCCCTCGTCGTCTTCACTGGCGACGTCGTCGTCGTCTTCGTCGTCGTCGTCGGCGTCGACGTCGTCGTCGTCGAAGTCGTCGGAGACGTCGTCGGCGTCGTCGTAGTCGTTGTCGTCGTAGTCGGTCTTAAGGGGTTTTGCAAACCAAGTTGCGGGTGGGTGGGTGGGATGTTTGCAAGAGCGTGGGATGTGTCAACTCATGGGTAAAAATCAATTGCACAACATAGACGGTACCACACACATTAAACCACACAGTGTGCTAGAGCACGCTGCCTGGGGCCCACGATGGCTAATATTTGAGGAGGCGGCCTGGCCTGCCGTCCGGGTCCGTCAGCTCCCTGTGCAGCGTGTCGAGCAGGAGCTCCGCGAAGTTCCCGGGCTCGTAGCGAATGAAGACCTCACGCGCGACGGCTCGCCCCTGCTTCATCGCGCACGCCTCGCGCTGGGCGACACTGCCCTGCGTCCCTGCGTCGGTCCTGGACGGCCGCCCCCCGAGGCTGCTTGACCGCTTCCGGGAGGTCTGGGAGCTGGCCATCTGCCCGCCAGCCTTCCCCAAACGCCAGCCCCGAGCGAGGCCATTCCGACGCATGGAGCTGCAGGAGCCCCCAACGCAGCGCACGCCAGCAAGAGCTGCCAGATCCCTGGGGAAGCCAAAGGTGCCGATACCGATACTCCCCGGACCGCAGGAGGCCTCCAAAGAGGGAAATCGAGGGAAGGGTAGCGGCATGGGTACGGGTTTCTCCTCTGTAACCCTGGTCAAACACACTGGCCATGGCACGCGCGCAATCGATTCGGTGGCACATCACGGCGGCGCCTGACCGTTGCCGTTCGCAGGGGCGCTCTCAGCGCGCCGCCCCGCACATCGGGCGCGACCATCGGGCGCGACCATGGTCGTCGTCATCATCATCGTCATCATCGTCATCATCATCAGCATCATCAGCATCATGATTATCGTCATCTTCTTCCAGCTCATCATCAACATAGTAATCATCATTGCCGCCATCATCATCGTAATCGTCATCATCATCTGTAACATCATCATCGTCGTCATCATCAGCATCATCATCACCACAACCATCACCAGCAGCAGCATCCTCATCATCATCAGCATCATCATCACCAGCACCGTCACCATCTCCATCATCACTATCACCAGCAGCATCATCATCATCATCTCCTCCCCCCTCTCCCCCTATCCCTCCTCCTCCTGCTCCCCCTCCTCCCCTCCTCATCCTCCTCGTCCCGATCATCATCAACATCATCACCCTCATCATCAACATCTTCATCGTCATCATCATAATCAGCATGATCATCATCATAATCATCATCATCATCATCACCAGCATCATCACCATCATAATCGGCATCATCATCATGATCATCATGATCATCATCATGATCATGATCATCATCATCAGCAGCAGCAGCATCATGTTCATCATCATCCTCAGCATCATCATCACAATCAGCACCATCATCATATTCATCAGCAGCATCGTGATCAGTATCATCATCGCCATCATCATCATCCTCACCATCAGCATACCCATCATCACCAGCATTCGTCATCATCATCGGCGTTTTTATCATCAGCATCAGCATCCGCATTATCATCCTCGTCCTCATCCTCATCATAGTCCTCATTTTCATCGTCCCCATCCCACTCATCCTCCTCCTCCGCCTCCTCATCATCATCAGCAGCAACATCCTCATCAGCACCATCACCACCATAACCATCATCATCATCCTCCTTCTCCTTCTCCACCTCCTCCTCATCATCATCGCCATCATCATCGACATCATCGTCATCAGCATCATCAGAAGCACCATCAACAGCATCATCCTCATCATCACCATGATCCTCGTCAAGAGCTTCATCTACATCAACATCATCATCAACATCATCATCGTGATCAGCAGCAGCATCAGCACAATCATTATCACCATCATAATCACCATCCTCATCACCATCATCAGACGATTATCAGCATCCTCATCCGCAGCATCAGCACCATCATAATAAGCAGTAGGATCATCGTCATCATCATCAGCAGCATCATCATCATCCCCCGCATCATCATCATCATCGTCGGCGTCCTCCTCCTCCTCCTCATCACCATCACCGTCTTCTTCGTCATCATCATCATCATCATCATCATCATCATCATCATCATCATCATCCGCATCATCATCGTGTCCTGCCCCGTCCGCCAGATCCACCCTCCTCACATTCCTCCTCACCGTCCTCCTCCTCCGCCTCCTCCTCCGCCTCCTCCTCGTCGTCCTCCTAATCCTCCTCCTGATCCTCCCCCTCTTCATCATCAGCACTAGCACCGTCACCATCGCCATCACCATCATCAGCATCATCAGCATCATCAGAAGCATCATCATCATCATCATCATCAGCAGCAGCATCATCATCATCATCATCATCATCATCATCATCATCATCATCATCATCATCATCATCATCATCATCATCATCATCATCATCATCATCATCATCATCATCATCATCATCATCATCATCATCATCATCATCATCATCATCATCATCATCATCATCATCATCAGCATCAGCATCAGCATCATCATCATCATCATCATCATCATCATCATCATCATCATCATCATCATCATCGCCATCATCAGCATCATCATCAGCATCATTACCAGTATCAGCAGCATCATCAACAGAATCAGCATCAGCATCATCATCCTCATCATCATCATCATCAGCATCATCATCATCATCTTCATTATCACCATCAGCAACATCACCATCGTCGTCATCATCATCAGCATCGTCACCATCATCCCCATCATCATCATGAACATCATCATCATCAGCAGCACCACCATCCGTCATCACCATCATCCGCATCATAGGTATGACAACTATCATCATCTGCGCCTTCATCAGTATCACCCCCAACATCATCCTCCCCTTTCTCACCATCATCATCATCGCCAGCATCGTCATACTCGCACTTCATTCTCATCATCATCATTAGCAGCAGCATCATCATGATCATCAGCAGCAGCATCATCGTCATCATTATCGTAAGCATCAGCATCATCTGAATAACATGATCATCATGAACAGCATCATCATTGCGATCATCATCCGCACCATCAGCATCCTCATAATCCTCATCATCAGCATCATCATCGTAATCATGTCCCTCCCCCATCCTCTCACCCCCCACCCCCCCTCCCGCTCCCTCCTCATCATCAGCATCCTCATCCACCTCTTCCACCTCCTCCTCCTGCTCGTCCAACTCCTCCTCCTTCTCCTTGCCACCAATATCATTATCATCAGCAGATGCATCAAAATCAGCAGCAGCATTATAATCATTAGCAACATCATCGTCATCGCCATCACCACCACCACGACCATCACCATCATCATTATCATCAGCATCATCATCATCATCATCATCCTCGCCGTCATCATCATCATCAACAACACCAAGAGAATTAAAACCGTCACAAGTATCAGCATCATCACCATCATCATCATCAGCAGCATCATCGCCAATATCGTCATCCTCACCATCATCACCAATCATCAACAACAACGTCGTCGTCATCACCATCCTCATCATCTTCCTCCTCATCCGCATCCTCAACGTCCCCCTCCCCCTCCCCCTGAACCTCATCCTCCTCATGACCCACAGCACTTTCGTGCGAGCATCATCCTCATCAGCATCATCACTGCACCGTCATCATCGTCACCATGATAATCAGCAACAACCTCATCATCATGATTCTCCATCTCCACACCACGATCATCGGCATCATCATCATCATCGTCGCCGCCCTCATCATCATAACCACCATCATCACCAGCAGCAGCAGCAGCATCATCCTGTCGCTCCCCCTCCTCCAGCTCTCCTTCCCCCGCCACAACTGCACGACATGCATACGGATATCCTCTCTCCCCCGACGCTGTCCGGAGAGCGTCCCGTCCTCTGCGCGTGCTGTCTTTCCAACCATCCTGTGGCGTTGGGTCCTTGTTTCGAAGGGACGGCGCCCCGCTTTCTCTTCCCGCCTCATTATTCCCCTATCCTCCCTCCTGCCATCACCATCACCAACATCATTGCCGCCATCATTGGCACACCCTTCACACGTTTCGTGACCCCATCGGAAATCCCATCTAAGGCTCCAGTGGCGACGTTCCCGTGCGCCCCCGCCACCCATTTGGGCACACCCATCGTAGATCGTGGCCCCATAGCGAGCTCCACATAAGGCAGCGGCGACGTTCCCATGCGTCCACGCCACCCACTTTGGTACAACCCTGACACGGTTCGTGGCCCCATAGGGAGCTCCAGCGAAAGCTCCTGCGGCGACGTTCCCATGCGTCCCCGCCACCCATTCTGGCACACCCCTCATACGGTTCGTGGCCCCAGAAGGAGCTCCACCGAAGGCCCCAGTGGCGACGTTCCCATGCGTCCCCGCCGCCCGTTTTCGGCTGGCCCCATGGGGAGCTCCACCTAATGCCCCGGTGGCGACGTTCCCATGCATCCCCGCCACCCATTTTGGCATGCACATACACACACACACACACACACGCACACACACACACACACACACACACACACACACACGCACACACACATATATATATATATATGTATATATATATATACACCGCATAGACCACCCTTCGGGTGATAAGGAGGCGAGGGGGGGGGACCACCGTCGCACTCGATCGATCTCACTATCGATCTCGCTATCGATCTCATTATCGATCTCATTCGATCAATCTCACAATCGATCTGGCTATCGATCTCACACTCGATCTCACTAACGATCTCACTATCGATATCACAGTCGATCTCGCAATAGATCTCACAATCGATATGGCTATCGATCTCACGATCGATCTCACATTCGGTCTCACGATCGATCTCACTACCGATATCACTATCGATCTCATTCGATCGATCTCACAATCGATCTCACAATCGATCTCACATTCAGTCTAACTATCGATCTCACTATCGATATCACAATCGATCTCACAATCGATCTCACAATCGATCTGACTATCGATCTCACGATCGAACTCACTATCGAAGTCATGATCGACCCCTCGTTCGATCTCACTATCGATCCCACTATCGATATCACAATCAATATCACAATCGATCTCACATTCGGTCTCACAATCGATCTCACTGTCGAACTCACTATCGATCTCACTATCGATCTCACATTGGGTCTCACTATCGACCTCGCTATCGATCTCACAATCGATCTCACAATCGATCTCACATTCGCTCACTACCGAACTCACCATCATCACCACCATCATCATCACCATCATCATCATCGTTGTCAACATCATCATCATCATCGTCATCATCATCATCATCATCACCGACGGGACACCGACGGGACACCGGCGGGACACCGCGGGGCCCCGGCCGCCCGGAAGGGAGCCATTTAGTCCGGCCGCGCCTCAGCCACACGGGACACCAGCGGGACACCCGCGGGACACCGCGGGGCCCCGGCCGCCCGGAAGGGAGACATTTGGTCCGGCCGCGCCTCAGCCACAGGAGACTTTCTTCTCGCCCGCCCACGCAGCTTCGCCTCGCCCGCACGCACGGCACGCACGAACACGAAACCGAAATCGATTTCCCGGTAGGGGGGCTCTCCGTTCCACTTCGATCTCACCCCCTCACCTCCGATATATAGATAGACAGATAGATATATTGATATATAGATAGATAGATAGATAGATAGATAGATAGATAGATAGATAGATAGATAGATAGATAGATAGATATACACACACGCACCTCACACGGTTCGTGGCCCCGTAAGGGAGCTCCACCTAAGGCTCCAGTGGCGACGTTCTCATGCGTCCCCGCCACATATTTCGGCACACCCCTGACACGGTTCGTGGCCACATAGGGAGCCCCACCTCATGCTCCAATGGCGACGTTCCCACGCGCCCCCGCCATCCTTTTTCGACACACCCCTGACACGGTTCGTGGCCCCATAGGGAGCTCCACCGAAAGCTCCTGCGGCGACGTTCCCATGCGTCCCCGCCAACCAATTTCGGCACGCCCCCCAAACGGTTCGTGGCCCCATAGCGAGCTCCACATAAGGCCCCAGTGGCAACATTCCCATGCGTCCCCGCCACCCACTTTGGCACACTCCTGACACCGTTCGTGGCCCAATAAGGAGCTCCACCTAAAGCTCCAGTGGCGACGTTCCCACGCGTCCCCGCCACCCATTTTGGCACACCCCTGACACGGTTCGTGGCCCCATAGGGAGCTCCAGCGAAGGCCCCAGATGCGACGTTCCCACGCGTCCCCGCCGCCCATTTCAACACAACCCTCATACGGTTCGTGGCCCCATAGGGAGCTCCACCGAAGGCCCCAGAGGCGACGTTCCCATGCGTCCCCGCCGCCCATTTCGGCACAACCCTCATACGGTTCGTGGCCCCAGAGCGAGTTCCACCGAAAGCCCCAGTGGCGTCGTTCCCATGCGTCCCCGCCACCCATCTTGGCACACCCCTGACACGGCTCGTGGCCCCATTTAGCTCCACCTAATGCCCCGGTGGCGACGTTCCCATGCGTGCCCGCCACGCATTTTGGCACACCCCTCACACGGTTCGTGGCCCAATAGGGAGCGCCACCAAAGACGATATCCACAGTTGCGGTACTCACATCTGCGAATAGTTGGGTCTTTCGCCAAGCTACTCTTACATACAGGATTTCATGATTCCCTACCTCTACCTAGGCTCTGCCTAGAAGGGTTCTTACTCTCTTAGCTTAAAGGGGCTGGGCAGTGCTACACGCCCCGAGCGGTTCCCCCGGTCCCCGCCCCGCGGTTCCCCACAGTCCCCTGGGAGCTTTAGCTTTAGCTTTAGCTTTAGCTTTAGCTTTAGCTTTAGCTTTAGCTTTAGCTTAGCTTTAGCTTAGCTTTAGCTTAGCTTTAGCTTAGCTGTAGCTTAGCTTTAGCTTAGCGTTTCGCTTAGCTTTTCGCTTAGCGTTTAGCTTAGCTTTAGCTTAGCTTTAGCTCAGCTTGAGCTTAGCTGTAGCTTAGCTGTAACTTAGCTTTAGCTTAGCTTTAGCTTAGCTTTAGCTTAGCTTTAGCTTAGCTTTAGCTTACATTTAGATTAGCTGTAGCTTAGCTTTAGCTTAGCTGTTGCTCAGCTTTAGCTTAGCTTTAGCTTAACTTTAGCTTAGCTTTAGCTTAGCTTTAGCTTAGCTTTAGCTTAGCTTTAGCTTAGCTGTGGCTTAGCTTTAGTTTAGCTTTAGCTTAGCTTTCGCTTAGCGTTACTGTTACTACTAATGCTGCTTTCCTAGGGGTTCCAACTCCTAGGTAGGGTCGCACTGGGATAATTTGGTTTTTCCGATGTGTTTTTTCAATCCGGTCGTTCCTGGTTGTTCCAAAATGGTGCTCTCGCTGCGGCGCCGCCTTCATTTCCGCGCTTCGGTCATTCAAAATCGTGCTCCCGCTGCAGCGCTGGCCTCGTTCCCGGACCTCTGGACGGCACTTGGCATTCGAAAGCGCCCACATCGGACAGGCACGGTTGCGGAGGACATGGAGCCCGCATTCCGGACAGGCCCTGCCCTCTCGTAGACGGGCCACTGACCCTCCAAGTCATCTGGTGCAATGCCACGGCATGCAATGTGATGCTGAGTTGTGCACTGCTGTGCGATGCCATGCTTTGCGTAGCTATGCTTTGTGATGCAATGCTTCACTACGCAGTGCCACGCCACGCTATGACATGCTGTGCTTTGCCGGGCTCTTCTACGCCATGCTTTTCCATCCATCGCGTATCCTCTTGGGATCATTGCCCTGCTCATCCGACTGTGCGAATAGATAGGAGATCTACGCCAGAGTAAGGGATGGAAGGGAGGGATAGGACGTCAGATGTGACGCTAACGCACCTAGCTTGTCGTCCTCCACCTACCCCCCATCCTTCTCATCATCACGATCATCATCATCGTCATCATCATCATCATCATCATCATCATCAGCATCATCGTCATCATCATCATCATCAGAATAATAATTATCATCAAAATCAAGATCATCATCATCATCACCACAACCACCATCACCATCACAATCACCATCACCATCACCATCTGCATCATCATCACCATCACCATCACCATCACCATCACCATCATCATCATCATCATCATCATCATCATCATCATCATCATCATCATCGTCACGATAATCACATCCTCATCACCATCACTACCACCATCATCATCATCATCATCATCATCATCATCATCATCATCGTCGTCATCATCATCATCATCATCATCATCATCATCAGCAGCAGCAGCATCATCATCATCATCATCATCATCATCATCATCATCATCATCATCATCATCATCATCATCATTATCATCATCGTCATCGTCATCATCATCATCATCGCCATCATCGCCATCATCGCCATTATCGCTATCATACGCATCATCATCAAAATCAGCAGCAGCATCATCAGCATCATCTCATCGTCAACATCATCCTTACCAATCACCATCATCATTGTAATCATCATCATCATCATCATCATCATCATCATCATCATCATCATCAGCTTCATCATCATCAGTAGCACCATCAGCATCGTCATGAGCATCAGCATCAGCTTCATAATCATTCTCATCACTGCCATCATTATCATCATCAGCATCATCATCAGCATCATCATCATAATCGTCATCATCCTCATCATCATGCTCATACTCATCATCACGATCAACATCAAGATCATCATCATCATCATCAGCATCATCATCATAATCTCCATCATCATCAGCATCATCATCAGCATAAGCATCAGCAACAGCATCATAATATTACTCCTACGTCATCAGCATCATGATCATCATCATCATCATCATCATCATCATCATAATCATCATCAGCAGCATCGTCACCTGCACCGTCGTGAGCATCATCATCAGCATCATCAACATCATCAACATCATCATCAGCAGCATCAGCATCATGATCATCAGCATCATCAGCATCATCATCATCAGCATCATCATCATCAACATTATCATCCTCATACCCATCCTCATCCTCATCCTTATCCTCCCCTACACATACCCCTCCCCGTCTTCCTCCCCCTGCTCCCCCTCCTCCTCCCGCCCGAGCCTGGTCCACCTGGGCGACCACTTCGTCGCCCTCGCTCTGCCCGAGCTCCGCGGGCGCTGGGGCGTCCACGCCCGTCTCAGACAGGTCCGCCAGCAGCCCCGCGGCAGAGGCGGCGGGCCGCCGAGGCGCGCTGTGCCCTGAGATCCTCCTCCTCCTTCTCCTCCTCCTCCTCCTCCTCCTCCTCCTCCTCCTCCTCCTCCTCCTCTTCCTCCTCCTCCTCCTCCTCGATCCTCCTCGTCCTCCTCCTCCTCCTCCTCCTCCTCCCCTCCTCCTCCTCCTCCTCCTCCTCCTCCTCCTCCTCCTCCTCCTCCTCCTCCTCCTCCTCCTCGATCCCCCTCCTCCTCCTCCTCCTCCCCCTTCTCCTGGAGGAGGCCGGGCCCTGCTGGACAGACCTCGCCCGCAGCCCCTCGATTTCCTCGCGCGGGGTGATGTTTGGCCCAGTTTCGGGCCGCGGGGCTCCCGCAAATCGATCGGACTCGCAAAAGGCGCAGAAAGATGGGCTACACGCAACAGTGACCCTCGGCAAAAGTGACCCTTAGTGCGCGGCCAAGGGGGGGCCTTTGCGGACACAGGTGGGGCTACCCTTAGCGCGCAGGAAGGTGGGGTCTAGGGTTGTGGGTACCATGACAATGGACACTCGAACAGTTCTTATCATTGGCCGAACTATGTGCTTTGATGTTGAAAGATGTGTTGAACATGTCTTGCGCATGGTAAACCAAGTCTTTACATGTTTGAAGCAAGCTAACATGCGTTCTACATCTGCAAAGTATTTGGCAACATACGTCCTCTCCATTGATCGTATTGTGCAGGTCTGGGGCTCGAATCGTGATTTATCACGATGCTGCAACTGCTTCGAGACGTCGGATCTCAGGGTGGACGGACCTGGCCGATCGGTTTTTCCCAGCTTGCCCAGATATCCGAGGCTCGGACAACAATTGGGGCCGCCGGTTTTTGGCCGCGTTTGGCCCCCAGGGGCCATCAGCGGGCCCAGGGACCGCGCGGGGCGCAAGGGATGCAAGTACTCCCAGGAGCAGTAGGGCGGGGCGAAAGCGTGCGCGCCGTCCGCAACGGCGGGACGCAAGCGCAGATGCCTGCAAGATGCAAGCACCAACGCCTGCGAACCGCACGACCCAAAGGCGCGCGCGCGATCCACCCCGAGGCGATCCCCGCGGCGCGCCTGCACGGGGCGCGCGTCGCGATGCAAGCAGAAGCATAAACGCTGCATCGTGCGCGCGGTGGGCCTCTCTCGCGGGGCCGCGCGTAGCCGCCCACATGCAGTTGCACCCCACCCTCGCGCGCGCGAGTCCTTCGCGCGGGGCCGCGCGCCGCGAGGCGCGAGAATGCGGAGGGCGGCCCGCGCGCGCTGCTCGCGCGCCATCGCGCGGGCCAGGCGCGGGCGCGAAATTTGCGCCCGCGCACGACGCTGCACAAGCGAGCGCGCGCGCTTTCGATGGCGTCGTGCGCCCACCGCAAATTTCAGCTGCGCCAGCAGCCTCCCGCATCCGGGGGGTGCGACAACCCCCGCGCCGCCCAGCCTGGCGGCGCCAGTCTGAGCCGCCGCGCGGGGCGCCAGGGACGCAAGCGCCCCTAGCCGATGCACGCTGGTGCACCGTGCAACGGCGACGCGCGCGGAGCGCGCGCCCCTTGCGAAAGCGGGCAACGCGCGCGGCGGCACGGCGAGGACGCAACGCACGAAGACGAGATCGACGCGCGAGAGGGCAACGCGCGACGCCTGAGTCGCCGGTGCTGAGCCCAAATCGTCCTCAGGCTCGGCCAGGTGCGCTTCGACCGCGGCGCCGAGCTCCAATTGCGCCATGTCGAGGTGCGACAAAAACGCGGGCGAAGACCATTCTCCCGCTTGCAGGACCTCGCGCAAGGTGCCCCCCCTCTGCTGAAGGTCCCATGCGTGGCCGCGCCTCGGGTCATGAGCGCGATGGAGCGCCGCGTCTTTGACGCCGAGTTTGCCGAGGAAAAGGCGCGGCGTGCTCAGCGCGCCAGCCGCGCCGATGCCCGTGGACGGCCTGGCGCCCGCGGGCAGGTCCGCGAACTATGCGCCGAGCGCGTGGGCTGGGCACGTCGCGGAGCAGCGCGCGCGCGAGCGCGCCCGCTGCAGCGCGGAACCGAATTGCTCGTTCTTGCGACGCGCCAATTTGAGCTGCAGGAGGCCGTCGCGCAGAATGAGGGGGGCCCCTGCGCCCTGTCGATAGGCGACGCCGTCGAACAAAATGCCCGAGGCCTCTGAAAGGAGGCGCAAGGGAAATACGCGCGTGACAAGAAAGAGCTGCGCGAAGACGGCGGACTCGCGCCGCCCGTTTGCTGAATGCAGCAGCGCGCGAACTGGATCTTCCCGCGTGAACAGAGGCGCTCTGGGCAGGAAAGCGCCGCGCTTGCGGATCGCGCATTTGGCGCGGAAAAACCGCGCGTCACGAAGCGCGTCTACAGGGGGACCGCAAACCTCAAGCCAGCTTGACGTGCGAAACATAATTAGAAAAGGTCTGATCGGAGCAAAAAAGAAGCGACCGCGCGAGCAACCCGTCGGCGGACGGCGGCAGCTCGCACCAGCGCAGCGCTAGAGCATCGCGCGCGAAGGCGAACCACGCTGCCGCGCCGTTCTTGAAGGAGGCGACGGAGCGCGGGCACGCGCCAAGGAGGGCCGTTGCGCGCGCCGAAGACAGCCACTCGGCGACGCTCACTGGGCCCCCCTGGCTGTCGAGCCGCCGGCGAAGATGGCGGAGTTCCGCGCGCGGGCCCCCGCCGCGCTGCGGCGCGCGGGCCCCTCGCGCCTCCGCAACCCTTATTTCAAGGAGCGCGTCGACTGCCGCGCCCCCGGCGGCCTGCGCCCGCGCCGGTGCTGGCCTCTGGCAACGGGCTACCTCCTGCGCGCGCGCATGGGCGCGATGCGACGCAGCCGGGGCAAGACGCGAAGTGTGCGAACCTGCCCGCGCGTCGCGATTGCGATTGCCTCCCGAATGCATCGGTTCGGGCCGCCGTCGAGGTCCGCCCCCGGGAACTGGAAATCCTTGAACTTGGCCCCAGCGAGCGCAGACGGGCGCGACGCGCTTTCGGCGGCGGGCGCCTCCGCGATTGCGTCGAACCAAGCAGCCTCGCGCCCGCCTTGGCCGGCGGCTCTCTCCAGGAAGACTCGCGCGGAAGCGGCGCGCCCGGCCATTGCCGATCCGACGGGCGGCGCGCGCCAAGAAGGCCCTCTGCCGCCGAGCCTTTGTTCGCCGAGCGCACGAGGAGCGACTGCGCCACGCGCGACCTTCGCGGGCGCAGAACGGAAGCGAATAATGCTGCCATTAAACGCGCTCGCCGACGCGAGACGATCTGGCGCGCAAGCCGAACTGTCGGCCGAGAGCTGCACGCGCGCGGCACGGCGGCGCCCGCGCGGCCGACGGGGGCGCCCAGGCCTCGGGCTCCCAGAATGCTTCGCCAAGACGCGGCTGAACAAAAGAAGCGCCGATCTCGCGAAGGAGCCAGCACTGCCCCCGCGACGGCAAATCAGCAACGTTGAGTTTCGAGGGGGCGCGGTCGACGCGGAGCGAGACGCGCAGTTGCGCCGCCTGCAGCCATGGCGAAATGATGAGACACGTATCATCCCACTCTTTGGAGGCGCCGTTCCGCGCGGCGGCCTCGGCACCGACGCTGTCAGACCAGAGGCGCACGCGCCCGCCCGCAAGCGACTCGCTGAATGTAGAAATGCCAAACGCGATCGCAAGAAGCCCGGGAGACAGAATTTGCGCATCGCCCATTTTCTTGAGATGGCGCAGGACGCGTTCGGGGGGGCCCAATCGGCATAGGAGGCCTGCCCGTCGAGGAAGAGCACAGCCGCGACGCGGTGCGGCGCGCTGCGCGCGTCGACAATGAGCTGCGCTGCCTCGCGCCAGTCTGGTGCCCAGACACGAGTCTCGCAGAGTTCCAGCGCTAAGACTTCTGCCCGCCATTCGAGTGCGACGCGCAGCTGCCGCGGCATCACCGCGCCGCCCTGCTTCGAGTGGGCGAACAAGGGCCGGACGAGCGAACGCCCTATGCGATGGAACATGCCCGAGCATGCCCACATCAGGGCGCCCGCAAGCTTCGCCGCGCCCCCTGGCCGCAAAACGAGGAGAGCGCGTCGCCATTGCGACCGCGCCACTTCTTGACCTTGTCGGGCGAGGGAAGGCATGAGAAACCGCCGCGGTCTGCGCGGACCTGAAGGCCCAGGGCGACAAGCGGCATGCCCGCGGCGACCACGTCCGCCGCGATCGCAGAAGGCCCGAGGACGCAGCGCACGAGCCGCGCGATGCACCCGAGCGCATGCTCGGCGCAGGCCGCACGCTCGGCTCCAAAGAGGTCATCGGCGAAACGCAGCATCGGAATGAACCATCGTCGGCGAACAAAGTGCGAGATGAGCGCGCCGATCCTCTCCCGCGCGTGCGCGGACGCCACGGCGCCGAAGGGCGCGGCCAGGTGCCCTGCCACGTGGGCCACGCCCTGCGCGAGGAAAACGAATAACCGAAATCGGCGATGCATCGGCATGGCGGGCAGCCCACGGCAGGCCGAGTCGATGTCGGCTTCGGAGCACACGACGCGTTCGCGCGCGCCCCGCGCCACGCCCCTCGCCACGCAACGCAGCGCGTCGATGGGCTCGGGGCGAAACTTTTCGCCTGCCGAGGAGCACCTGTTCATCTTCGCGCGAGGTAAATCGTCTACTGCCCGAGCGCACACGTCGCCCCATTGGACCGCGCCCGCGCAACCCCGAAGCGCGGCGACAAGACGTTTACGCCGAGGTCGGCCTGCTCAGCCGCGCAATGCTGGGCCACGCGAACCATGCGCGCTTCTTCGAAAGACTGCTGTAGCAACGTCGCCGAATGGGCGTCCTCTTTAAGGAGCGCCAGCAATGCGCGGTTGGCTTGAGCTGCGCCCCCTAGGACGGTTGAGACTGGCCGCGCGCCGGGTCGGTGCACGGGCGCGCCGCCCCCCGAGGCCAGGCGCGGGCCCTCTGCTGGCGCGCTGCGGCGAAAGAATTCGATGCACGCGGCGTCCTGGAAATCACCGCTGGCGGCGAGCGCTTCCATCGGCGGGCCGCTGACGCCAGTCGCCACCACGCGCGCGCCTGCATCGGTCCCTACATGCCACCGGGCCAAGGCGCCCGACTCGCGCAGCGCCC